AAGTTGGTTTAAGGTAGAAAAATTCTTTACCCAACAAGAGTCTTTTGGTACCGGGGATCAAACTCAGGACCATGCGCTTGCAAGCCAGGCAGCAGAACCACTGAGCTAAATCCCCAGCTCAACAAGAGTTTTTTATTGAAACTACCTGTCACCTGTAGTCCTTAAACCTTGGTGATCCTTCCTAGTCATTTGTGAAATGAATGTGACAGGGTATAACTAGAATGCATAAGTTTGGCTTGAGTGAGGGGCTCTGCTGATACGGGAAGTTCTGGCTGCAGCTGTGTGGTTCTGAGTTCCCTAAATTGTGGCATTTTGGAAAAATTGGAACTGCAGCCTCAGTGAGAATCTGAGAAGAATTAAAGGGCAAATGTGCTAATGCCCTGACACCTTTCTCCCAGAGGCCCCTTCTCTTTCCCAGGGCGGGGGGGTTGCCCTGAAGGCAGAGCCCATCAGAATCTGGTGCCCTGGCTGGGCCCAGAAAGGATTCCTGCAAAATAAGAAGTTGTCCGCAGGAAGTGCTTTTAAGGCTTCCCTGAAAAGGACTGCATTTTATTCTTAGAGAGGCACAGATTTAAAAATTTTTAAAGCACTCTATTTCCAAATCATCAAGTGTGAAAAGTTTCTTATTTTCAAAGTAGAATTTCAGTATAGAGCTGACAAGAGACAAGTAATCTCTTCCAATTCATTTTTGAAATGAATTGCTTGACAAGCCAACACATGTCTTGCAACGCTCTAGAAAAGCCAAGGGCCTAACCAAATAAATGATCTACTGCTTGTGAGATAAGAAGATGTTTTTCCCTTACCCTTTTGAAAATTGATTGCCACAATTTTCACAATCTACTATTCAAACCCTGAGTGATCTAAAATGTATCACTGAGAGAAAAGGAGAGTGACCTTTTACTTTTCATAGTAACTCAAATGGAATAAAGGCCACATGTAAGATAAGCCTGCAAGAGGAGATAATCTGTAAAGCAAATGTTCAGCATTAGCAGTTAGAAATTAATTGCAAAACACAGCAGGCATGTGTCATCCTATGAAATGACAGCACATCATAATCTGGGTTGAAATGGAATCCCCGCTGCCTTATGCCTGATGCAGAATATGTCTGTTGTCAGGCATGGAGGACACAGAAGGTCCAGTCGGGACCTGCATCACATTGGGTACTCTGTGTAGATGCAGCAGGAGTTTTGTCACCCGAAACACACCTGGATGTCAGCCCTTTCAGAGTACATTTTATAGCCTCAGGTTTATGTATCTTAAATTGTCATATGTTAAGACCGTGACTTTGTGGTTAGCTGTTTCCAAGTAGAAGTTAGATGACAGGACAGATTTCTGATAACCAGTGAGTGCATTCATTTAGCATTTATCAAGTACTCATCATGCTGGGCACTGAGGGCTTAATATGACTGAAGCATAACCCCTCACACCCAATTTGGAAAGCTACTTCATTCCACTGAAGGAGATTGATTTATAATAGAGTAGTTAGTGCAACTGAATGAATGCCATGTTGCAGGAACATAGAGAAAGGGGTAAGGAACTTGTTTCAATGAGTTCAGCAAAGCTCCTCGGAAGTAGTGACAACTTAGGAGGCCTCTGAAGTGTCAGCAGTATTATGCAGTCTGTGTAAGGAAACAGAGACCAATACCAGCCAGGTGAATCCTGCCTGGGGCCTCTGGCGCCCAAGAACAGCCACATGGGGCATCTTAGGGGACCCTGCTTCATGTGGGAGAAGACGCAGAAGATGGGGCCAGAAAGTTACCCAGTAAGTACTGTGAGTGCTTGATCTATTCCAGAACACCAAGAGTGGTGTTAAAAATACTTAATAAGCATAGATTCAAAGTTGTGCAGGACAGACACTCTCCTGCACCAGATCTTTTGCTTATTGGAGCATGGTATGAACTAGGTCCCCCCGGAAGCATCAGAGCATTAGAGGGGACCTAGGGTAGCAGACCTGTTGGGAGGGATTTTCCTGCTTTAACAACCAGTGTAGCTGAGGGTCTGCACAGCCATGGAGTCAGCCACTGAAGAGAAGCAGGGTGCTGTGTTTTCATTTCTCATCTCCTCTAGACCCCCTGGACAAAGAGGATTTTTTTTCTCCTAAAGATATCTTGAGCTAATTACCCTCTCCTTTTCCTATTGTCAGAATGAACTCTCTAAAGAGCAAAATTGATTGATTATTCCACTGCCCTGATTAAAACTCTTCCATGGGCCAAGGTCCTTACTTGACCTTGGTGAGCAGGTTTGTGCTGTCATTCTGGTCTCTCTTTCCTTCATTGTACCCTTGGGCACTTGCTCCCCATGGCAGTTTGCCCAGGCCCCAGGGTGCCAGGTGACAGAGTGTGTTTGGCTCCCCATAGCAGGCCTCAGGTAATGGGTTACCTGTGGCTAGGTAGCAAGGCCACAGGTCAGCACCACACCTGGTATGTGGGAGCTGCTTCTGTTGCTGGTTGATAAGTCTGCCTGATGTTCCTTCATAGAGTCAAGGTTAGATTTTGAGTGTTGCTAGTTAGGTAGCAGCTTTGGATCAACTCCAAAGGCATGAACAGTGACTGACATTTCAGAGGATGGCTGTGGACAGGAAGGGAGGGTAGCAGAATAAACAAATGACATTTGTGTGTGTGTGTTAAGGGTTGAGTTTGATGCTGAGATCCTTGCTTCCATGTCTTTAGTTAAAATGTGGTGCCAGAGGCTTATCCTAAACATGACCAGTATTCTCTTGTAACCTTTATAAAATATGAATAAGGAATTAAGTATAAAGGAAGTCACAGAAGAAGTGTTTTTTAAAGCATCAAGCAGTGTGCTGGTCACAGAGTTCACAAAATAGAAATGGGCTGTGCCCTCAGGAAGCTGACTTCTCTGGACGGAAGCAGATGATAAATAAGGAGACTTGCCTCCTTCTCTCCCCCCCACCCCACTAGTCCACGCCTTTGCCTTCATTCATCTGAGCCACACAGTAGACTCTGAGATGGTCCCTGCTCCACACACACCTCACAGCCTGTCTCTGTGCCTAAGAGAGAGCTCTGAAGGTCTAAACCAGAGCTCCTGTGGATCTTGCATGAACCCATTCATGACCTTCACACTGCAGTTAGGATAAAAACTCTTCTTCCTCTCCTTGGTCTCCAAAGTCAGTTTTGATTAAGCCCCTCCCTGCAGCTCCAACCATGACCATGCTACTGTGCCTTGTGTGCCTCAGCACGTAGCCTCAGAGTGGCCTTCATGTCCCTCAACACTCTGCTCCTCTTCTTCCTCCTCCTCTTCTTCCTCCTCCTCCTTCTTCTTTTCCCTTCCTTTTGTAGTACTGGGAACCTGGGGTCTGGGGCATGGTAGACAAGTATTCTGATGCTAATATACATTTCTTAGCCCTTTTTTGAAAACTTTATTTTGAGACAAGGTCTTGCTAAGTAGTCCAGACTGGGCTCAAATTTGCCATCCTCCTGCCTCAGCCTCCAGAGTAGCTGAGGTTATAAACATGCACCCTTCCCTTCTCAGCACCATTGCCTGTGCTCTCCTCTATTGCTCTCCATGGCTGGAGTTTCCTTCAGATGTATCTAAAGTGGGTCCCACTGCCCCCACCACTGTTAGTCTTTATCACAGAGTAGTTCTAGCACTTAAAACAATTTGTAATTATCTTTAAATTTGCTTGGGAGAAAAACTATCTGAAATTAAGACTTTCTCTGGCAATTTGGAACTTAGAGAAGAGGATTGGATCTTGAAGTTGCAAGATAGGCATCCTTCCTTGTGACTCCAAGGGGTACCTAATGAGATTGCAAAGGTATGATTACCAAGTCATTTGCAAACAGCATTCATTCCTTCAGCCAGTTTTGATCAGAATCAGTGCCTCCGCAAAATAAGCGGTGGTCCATTGTGAAGCAAATATTTTAAAATTAGGCTGTATTAATGGAAACATAGGCATTAGTTATAAAGATAGTCAAATCTGTCAATTATTTACGATAGGACTGTCTTTGCAGAAGTGCTAAGGTGAACAGTAAGCATGAATAATAATAAAATCAAATGCTGGAGGGAATAAAATTTTAGAATTTAAGGGAACAATTTTGATCTTGAGCAATGTACATACAATTAGAAACTGAAGGGACCAGAGAAAACCAGGTTCTGAGTCCTCAAGATACGTGTGTAGGGCAGATGCTGTGGGGGCAGGGGAATTGAGGGTGGATAAGAAGGAGAGAGTGGTGTGGGGGAGAGAGAGGGAGAGAGAGGGAGAGGGAGAGGGGGAGAGAGAGAGAGAGAGAGAGAGAGAGAGAGAGCGAGCCCAAAGACTCTACTTACTTAATATGGGGTCTTAGTGACAATCATATTAAGGATAGTTACCTTCTTTGGGTTGAGCCATAACTGGAGTCTGAGTTTCCTTGGT